CATCCACTAAAAAAAAAGCAGAGGCTAACAAATCATTTAAGGAGAACTATGAGGTGAGTGATTTCCCCTCATCCTCATAGTTCGAGCCGGCGTGCGACAATGAGACTGTCACAGGTCGGCTCTATAGATTGGGAGGTGAGAGAACACATACCGTTGCTCGCTCACTTCTCCATCATCTCCCTGCAGAGAGCTGTGACTGTCACTCACGGCTCCCTGCAAGGATCCCCCCACACATCCTCCAGCGCTGACTGGAGGAACGGACGGGGGAGGGTACAGCTGGCTCTGCCTCTAGATAGGCAGAGCCAGCTGTCACTCACGCAGCTGGGTGGATCCAGACAGCAATGTCGGGATTCGTCCCGGCTGCGGCGTTCTCAGTATACCGTGAGCTATAGCTTGTACATGTCCTCCCGTACATGTCCTCCCGTGACTCTGAGGAGAACTATGGGGAAAAGCACTGACCCCATAGTTCTCCTTTAAAGAGGAACTTCACCCATGTATTTGAAAACAACAACAAAGACATCTTTAGAAATGTTTAGTGATGACAATCTACAGACAGATAATTCTAGAGAATTGCCGGCTTTGTATTCCTTATTTCTCTTTTCTGCCCCATTCTTCTCACAGTGGACATTTTTATTAATCCATCTCCCTTTACTTCCGGGAACTCGTGTGACCAGGACATGTGACCAGGACATGTGACCAGGACATGTGACCAGGACATGTGACCATGCACATCATCTCAGGGGAGGAAAATGCCTTTCCCTGAAAAATCTCCTGATTACAACCATCTTTGTCTGGAATTGTATTGTTATTGTAATGTCTTCCTTATATTGTAAAGCGCTGCGCACACTGTTGGCGCGATATAAATCCTGTGTAATAATAATAATTTCCCGGAAATGCTCTGCTGATGTAACCTCCCCAGCATGTGACGCTTGGGCACAGATTACATCACTGATGCAGAAGAAAAACAGTAATTGTAAGTAAAAGCAAAATATGAAATCATTTTACGTTCATTAGTAAAACAAACATAAAATTATTTCATATCGGCATGCAGAGCTGTATTCCGATTTGATGTTCAGTTAAAGGGGGTAAAGGTCCGCTTTAAAGCATATGTAGATGTTAAAGTTCGATGATCCGTTTTGTCCCCTTTCCCCTAGAACTGTGGGGGTCAGATCGAGGTAAGTAATCTGCTTGGGGGAAGGGGTGGGGGTTTGGATGGGGTTAGGAGGTAAGTGCACTTTACACCAACATTCCAGCCTTTTCATCAGAGGTTCTTATAAATCTAGAAGAGATTTCTAAAGCGCTTGTTGGTGACGTGAACTGAAGACTGTGCGCAACCATCTTCTTGGCTTCGTCCATGTGGGCGGCAAGCTTCACCGCCGCTCTGAAAAGCGACCCGTGGTGGATCCCTTTCCAAAGGGCAGAATTGCAGTGACTTCCAGGAGGCATACGGGATGGCACCACAGGCCACATCTGTGTGGGGACCTGCATGGGTACACGCCAAATAATGTATTTAGGAGGCTCTAACCCAGGGGCGCCCACAATTTTTCGTCTGGGGATCTACTTTGCAAATGACGAGCTCAATGAGATCTACCAACGAAAAAACACCTGCATTCAGGGGCGTGGCATTGAAGTCAATGGCACCGCAGCCAGGCCCCTCACCCACAGTGCGATCGCCTGCACCCGAAACCCAGGCACATTAGTGCCCGCGTTACGGTCCAGTGCGATCTGCAACCGGACGGGGGTACGGAGCCGCTGTAACAGCAGCATGTGCAGTGAGGAGAAAGAGAGAGCCGTCAGCTGTCAGATCCAAGCCGAGCAGCTCTCTCTCTCTCTCCTCACCGCTCGGCGTGCTGCTAGCGGCTCCATCTCCCGCCGCCGACTGCAGCTTCACTTTTGCACGGATCCCCGCTGCATACAGATGGGGGGAGAGCAGCGGGGATCCAGAGAAGACAGGGCATCGCGATCTACCAGTGATCGCGATCGACCTTATGGGCACCCCTGTTCTAACCCTTCCCCTGCTGCATCTAAGGTGGTCAGGTTACTGTGTGTGTGGCTTCACTTCCGGTCCAACTGACAGAACGGGCGGGGAAATTAAATCTAGATAAGGGACAGACAAAACCTGCAGCCCAGCTTTGGTCACTTACCTGTTTGTTAGCAAACACCAACAATACAGCGTCTCGTAGCTCGTCTTCCGCCAACATCCTCATCAGCTCCTCCCGTGCTTCGTTCACTCGCTCCCGATCATTGCTGTCCACCACGAAGATTAAACCTGCGTATGGACAGAAAATGTAACACATCGCCGCACCAAAAAGGAGGAACAAACTCTACTTTGTGGACAAGAAAATGATTCACACTACACACCATCCATCACAAGTCTGGCTGTACCAACATCGCCTGAGGTTTGTTGCCACACCCCCCTGAAAGCCTAATACAGCTGAATGCAGTTCGGAATAAATGGCTCCGTAATATCAGTCTATTGGGTCTATACACCAGTGGTTCTGGATGTCGGGGCATGAAGATAAGATCTGAATGGCTCCGCCCACTGTCCTGAATCGAGGACTAATCCTTATTTTTGGGATGTGATGGAACGAGACATAGAAATACCTTCGGTGCTGAGAAGACTTTACTGGGCTATTCAATTCTGTCCAGACGACTGAAGTACAATCCTGCAGCTAGAAGGCTTCCCCAGTCTGTGTCTCTCCGAGCATTGAAGCCAAAGCCTGGAAACCAGCAGCTGATCTGTGCCACCCTCCACATCTCTCCAATGATAGTTCTCCTTCCTCCTTAGTACATATGTTCGGTTAGTCCCGATGTTGTGTACTTTGGAGGTAACTCAGACTTTCGGGGGCCACAACTCGGTAACAAATGGATAACCTGAGATTTTAAAGCTTTACTGCAGCCAAAAAGCCAATTTTGTATAGCACAGATCAGGATTATGGCCGCTGTCATGTTCTTATTGTGCACTTCCCTGTTGGGGAGATTTACCATCACTTCCTATAATGACAGAAAATACGTGTAATTCTTCCCCACTCTATACTTAAAAAAAAAAAAAAAATGCATTTCGGCTTTAAAAGGAGAATTATGAAGTGAGTTATTTTCACTCCTCCTCATAGTTCTAGCCGACCTGTGACAATTGAGACTGTCACAGGTCGGCTCAGTAGATCGGGAGGTGAGCGAACACATACCGGCGCTCGCTCACTTCTCGATCCTGTGCCTGCAGAGAGCCATGACAGGGGAGGGACTGGATTCCTCCCTCCCCTGTCCAATCCTCCAGCGCTGACTGGCGGAAAGGACAGGGGAGGGGGCGGGTACAGCTGGATCTGCCTCTAGATAGGCAGAGCCAGCTGTCACTCACGCAGCTGGGCGGATCTAGACAGAATTGTCGGGATCCGTTTCAGCTGCGGTGTCTCAGTATACCGCGAGCTGCAGCTCCCTATATACTGAGCTTAGGGTGACGGGAGGACGCTAGTTTGTGTCCTCCCGTTACCCTTACGAGAACTATGGGGAAAAGCCCTGACCCCATACTTCTCCTTAAACCATTTCTGCCCACCATTTGTAAAACAATTGTACCCCGCATGATGCCCCAGACTGAGCGAACGTTAATCTACCAGCAGAAACTGCTAACCATTAGACTGGGTTGATACAGACCGCTCCGATCTGACAAAATAAGCCTGCAGGTGCCACTGCAGCCTAAAGATAACTGTGTATGTTTAATACTGTTCTCTTCAAATAACATTACAGTATTAAAAAGGAGAACTATGGGGTCAGGGCTTTCCCCATAGTTCTCCTTAGGGTAACGGGAGGACACAAACTAGCGTCCTCCCGTCACCCTAGGCTCAGTATATAGGGAGCTGCTGCTCGCGGTATACTGAGACGCCGCAGCCGGAGCGGATCCCGACGTAGATGACGGGATCCGCCCAGCTGTGTGAGAGGCAGAGCCAGCTGTACCCGCCCCCTCCCCTGTCCGTTCCGCCAGTCAGCGCTGGCGGATCGGAGCTGGGAATCCAGCCCCCTCCCCTGTTACGGCAGAGAGCCGTGACAGGATCGAGAAGTGAGCGAACGCCAGTATGTGTTCGCTCACCTCCCGATCTACTGAGCCGACCTGTGACAGTCTCATTGTCACAGGTCGGCTAGAACTATGAGGGGAGTGAAAAGCACTCCCCTCATAGTTCTCCTTTAAAAAACTACTTCTGTGCATTTGTCAGCCAAAAAGGTGTTGGGAAGCTAAATAATATACCTAAGCTTACCACACACCCGCTTAACACAGAACACATAACAGATTCCTCCATCAACGCTTAAGAGCACTGATCGAGGAATCTCCCGCTGTCTTCATTGTATCCCGACGATGGCCGCTGTCAGAATACCCCAACAGAGCCCGTAGCTCACTTGACTGCTGACTCGATTTGAAGATTTTCCAACTAGCTCCTTCGATCAGTAAATTGATAGGGTGCCGACAGCGGCACTCACTGTGCAAATTTCAGCAGTTTCAACAAGAACCGGCCAAAATTTGCATAGTGCATGGCCAGCTTTATCTTTCCCAGGCGTCCTCACGCAGCACCTATGCAACAGTGACATCTTCCTTACGACCTCAGACAATGCCGAGTAGCCCAAATCTTGCAAGACAATCTTGCAGTGTTGTGCGAAATTTGGGCTGCTCAGCCTTCTCGGATGGCCACGGTGTAGAAGCAGACTGTGCCTGAAACTTAAGCAGCACATCAAACACCTAACTAAAAAGGTATCTGAAGTTATTCTTATATATTGTTTGGAAATGTGCACATGAGGATTTGAAGTCAGGTGATGACAGCATACAGGGCACCTGGTAGAGGACCCCATACTTTAGTGACATGGAACCACACCAGTCTAGGACCACCATTGTAAGGCCAGGTTCAAACTTGCGCGATCCGTGACCGTGCGGCAATCATGCACGAAACCGCACGGATTGCCATGCGGTCAGAGTCGCGCACCACCATTGATCGCGCTGCCATTCTTCTCTAATGGCACCGCAGTCGCGCTGTTTACCAACGCGATTCCACCCGTCCAATCAAACAAGACCGAGGCTAAAAAAGCTGTGCATGGCAAAAGGTACATGTACCTTTTTTCCCTGTGATTGCCACACGGATGTAACCCCATAAAAATCAGTGGGGCGACTGCACACGATCGCGCGGGTCCCGGATCGCCTAGGTCTGCACCAGGCTTGAGAGTCGGATGAATAACTCTCAGAAGAGGCTTCACATTCATAAAGTTAGATATTCAAAACAAACAAGAAAACATTTATCTGGAGCCCTGTAAACTAAACTGTCCTGGGATGTGAAGATGCAGAGTCACCGGTACGACTAACAATTTACAGTCTCCGCAGAGGAAATGTAAACCCTTCGGTGTCACTTACCTTGTGTGTTCTGGAAGTAGTGACGCCACAGAGGCCTAATCTTATCTTGGCCACCCACATCCCACACCGTGAAACTGATGTTCTTATATTCTACTGTCTCAACATTAAAACCTGAGGAAGACAAAGCGTAGAGTCGGTATAAATGTACACACACAACAAGAGGTCATCCGTGCGCTCCGTGTCCGCTCTCACCTATTGTGGGGATGGTCGTCACAATTTCTCCTAGCTTCAGCTTGTATAGAATAGTGGTTTTACCAGCAGCATCCAACCCCACCATCAGGATACGCATCTCTTTCTTGCCGAAAAGGCCCTTGAAGAGGTTGGCAAACATATTCCCCATGATGGAAATGTGAAGGTTTCAGGAATGGCAAAAAAAAAAAACCCTAAAAAAACAAAAGACAAGGTAAGTAGCTGTCCAGTGCTCAGGTCACATCACGCTCCCTTCTTCACCACCCTCCATTTACAATTGTTTTTTTTTCCTCCAGAGAATACAAGGCATGCTGTGATTGGAGGAGGAGAGATGTCATCACATTCCCATCCCCTCCTGCTAAATCAGGGGTGGGGAACCTTTTTTCTGGATATTTAGATTATTCGTGGGCCGTGCAAAATCATCAACTTAAAAATTAGGAGGCTTTGTTTGGTCAAACATTTGTTTCACTCTACCCTAATGT